TGTTTTAAGCACATTATTATGGAAGCCCGTTTCTGCCACTGAAAAAAAAAAAAAAAGATATTTGCTAGTTTTTATCTGACAATTCAGACTTTTTTTCATGCAATTCAGAATTTTTCTTAGAATTGTGAGATCTAAACTTGCAATTGCGACTCATGAAGTCCAGTTCTGAGGGGAAAAACTACCGATATGTTTTCGGAATTGCGAGTCTATATCGCGCAATACTGACTTCTCACAATTGCGAGTTTATATCTCACAATTCTGAAAAAAAGTTTGTATCCTGCAATTCTGTCAGAATTGCGAGATGTAAACTCGGAATTGCAAGGAAAAAAAAGTCCGAATTGTGAGATAAAACATTGCAATTTTTTTTTTTTAAGTGGTGGAAACGGGCTTCCTTACATTTTTAAAAACCAGATAACTTTGAGCAAACGTTATTTTAATGTTCGTCCATAACTTGCCCTGTTAGTTTTTCACCGTATATTCCTAGTAAGTGACCTTACTCTTAACCAATTCCCAGGCTTCTACTACAGCATTTTTTATAGTCTTATACCATTAAATGTACTTTTTTACAGTGAATATTTAGGACGTAAATAGAGTCCATTTGGATTTAATGGTTGTAGTTGTTGTGCATCATTGCTGTCTTCTGCTGCGTCATCTGCTTCCACATCATATGCTGCAGTATGACACGAAGAACATAAAACAACTGTAAAACTTGATGTGGAACAAACACACACACACACAGAGAGAGAGAGAGAGGAAACATTTGGCCGAATCCAGCTCGTAGCTAAAGGTGTTTGTCTGCCAAATCTGTGAGAGCATCTCTGGAGCTCCTCCAGCTCCTCTGGACCATCACAGCGCTTCATTTGTTTACTGGAAGCGTCGCAGGAGTCGGCCATCGCAGCAGAACGCATAAAAACAGCCGTGATTTGTAACGCCTATCTGGCATAAACGCGCAACTCTGGGCTTCTTGGCCAGGAGCCGCCGGCGTCGCCCACAATACCATATGATTGTGAAACGCCTCAGCGCCGTGGCTTTCTGTCTAATTTATTCATCCAATCTATACGGAAGCCATTTTGCCCAGCAGAGAGAGACTGAGCGTAATTATCCTAATTAGAGCTAATTCAACATGGCTGAGCCCATTTTTGTAACGAGCCCCTCATCCAGAGCTCAGAGGAGGAGGCTCGACGGTCGCCGCCTTTCCTTTGTTGCCACGGTAACCGTTTCCGTAGCGACCCGCTCTTGACAGTGATGGGAAATGAAGAGGGGTTAATTTCACTGTGAAGGGGCACAAATTAAAGCCGAAATGAGAGAGAAATCAAATGCCTCCTGTTTGCAAATAAACTTCTGTCAGACACGGGCAAAAAAAATATATATATATATATGATAATAATGAACAGATCCAGCAGCAAATACAGCTTCAGATCAGATGACAAGCCAACATCACAAACCAAAACAAGTGCACTTTAGTACACTTGAGCAAGAGTACTTGTTATGGAATAATACGCTTAAAGGGATAGTTCACCCAAAAATGCATATTCTGTCATTAATTACTCACCCTCATGTCGTTCCAAACCCATAAGACCTTCATTCATCTTCAGAACACAGATTAAGATATTTTGGATGAAATTCGAGAGCTTTCTGACCCTGCATAGACAGCAAGGGAACTGAAACTTTCAAGGCTCAGAAAGGCAGTAAGGACATCTTTAAAATAGTCCATGTGACATCAGTGTTTCAGCCTTAATTTTATGAAGCTAAGAGAAGAAATTATTCAATGAAGTCGTTATTTTTGTTTTCTTTGTGCACAAAAAGTATTCTCCTAGCTTCATAACATTACGGTTGAACCACTGATGTCACATGGACTATTTTAAAGATGTCCTTACTGCCTTTCTGGGCCTTGAACGTTTCAGTTGCTTTATAAAATTACAGTTGAACCACTGAACATACTTAAGTGTGAACTGAACGCAATGTTGCAGTTAATAGTTTACATTTATATTAAATGCAACTAACTGAACTTTTGAGTTATTTATGAGACATTTTATGAATAGTACTTAAGTCCATCTTTATGTAATTTCATATTTATATTATCTTTGCAATATGGTAAGTTAAACATACTTAACTGCTATTTCCATTTAAACATGCATGATGCCACATATTTAAATATATTTGTAACTGCATATTTATAATGATGAAGTAGTAATTTAGTACATATGAAATATAATATCGAACGACACAATGGCAATCAAGTACTTAACATGTACTTTAGTATGTTAGTCAACACATCAAAATCTTCTTTAAAACACCACAAAATATTATTAAATAGGGGTTTAAATTTATCTTTTAATTTGACATTGTTAGTGTACTTTTGTGTGTTAAAGTGTACTTGAGTGTGTTAACAAACAGTCATGGAAGTGTATTCTCTTAAAGTACAATTAAGTGGCCTTTTATTTATTATTAGGCTATATTATTATCGTAAAGTACCATTTTTAATATATTTTTAAGATCAGAGGATGTCACGTCACGCTGTTGAGGAAGCACGAGTAAACGAGAACAGTCTTTAATCAAGGAAACACAGGAAATATTCCACAATAGGAACTTGAGCCAACACACGTCGACAACAAGTAAAACCGACAAAACAAACTGAACAGACTGGGGCTTATAAGGACTGGATAACGAGGGGCAGACAGGTGCAGGGAATCAATTAATAATCAAACTAAGCAAGGACAGGAACAAGACCAAATAAGGCAAAACAGGAACTGAAACACATGACAAAACAGGTCCAATCCTGACATTTCGCCCCCTCCCGGAAGGTGCGTCCTCGCACCGTAGGCAACAACAGAGGGAGGCATAGGTGGGAACTTGGGAGGAGGCTCAGGAGGAGGACGGACACCCGGGAAGGGGCCGGCAGACAGAGACCAGGGAGGCGACGAAGGAGGGAGGAGCCAGGGAGGAGACAGGAGGGGC